CTCTTCTCCACATTTGCATGTCATGGATTCCACTTTGTGACCTCATTTCTTAAGGTTGGCTCTGCATCTTGTGGTGCCAGGGCGCAGTCTGTTCAGCACCTTCCAAGTCACCCAGTCTTCTGTGTGCCCAGGAGGGAGTCTCTCATTTGGTATCAGCCATGGGTAGAGGTACTGGGTTTTAGCCTGCCACTTTTGGACTCTTGCTTGCTGAGGTGTTCCTGTGAGTATCTCTGTAGATCTTAGGAAGCTCTTTCTTGATTTAAGGCATTGGCGTGCTGGCTGATATCTGAACAGGGGGTGGGCCAGAGATGTTACTACCTTGGTCCTTTCATTATTGGCTGCTACTTCCCAGTGGGTGTCAGCTGGTACAATACTGGCTAAACAGTGTAATTTCTCCAGTGGTGTAGGGCACAGACACCCTGTGATAATGCGGCATGTCTCATTAAGAGCCACATCTACTGTTTTAGTGTGGTGAGATGTGTTCCACACTGGGCATGCATACTCAGCAGCAGAGTAGCAAAGTGAAAGGGCAGATGTCTTCACTGGTTCCAGGTTACCTCCCACCGGTAGATACCGAAATCAGTGGATGCTCAAGTCCCATTATATACAATGGCATAGTAAAATGGTTTCTCTTATATAAAATGGCAAAATCAAGGTTTGCTTTTTGGATTCTTTTCAAATATTTTCAAGCTATATATGGTTGAATCTGTGGATATGGAGGATTGATTGCACTATTGCACACAGAGACACACACATTTCACTTCATCTTCTGTCCTGTCCTGGCACTGCCAGATAGATGTGTCATTTCAGTGCAAGGTCACTGCCCCCAGACGTAGGGACTGTTGGCTTCTCCGTTTCATGGTGATTTTCCTATTAAACACACAACCGAATTCCTCTATTGCTTGTTGATAAACATTAGGTTTATATTCTATGTACTATATTTTTAAAAATATTCTACACAGCACTGTTACTTTTTCAATGTTCACATATAAAATGAGCCCATTTACTGCTCCTTATTTTGCGATTCAATGGCACATTAGTTATTAATGCTAAACCACCAGCACCACCCAGCTTTGTGGTTTCAAGTAGAGTTTGACCACAAAACAAAGCTGCCAAAGGGATGAAACGCATGTAATAAAATGGAAGAAACAGGGATAAAACATTTAATAAAATCGAAGAAACTGGCCTCCTAAAATGCAGAATGTGGGCAGATGTACTGAATTGCTCAGAAATAAATATGCAAAATACCCTGGGGAATACAAACCTATTTCAAATCTAGTCAAACAAGTCAATATGTGCTTGCTTGAAACAGCCAGCAAAGTTCCCACAAACATAATGAGAAGAGACTCATCAAAATGGTACAAATACAACATGGCACCCAAAACAGGCACTGTGAATGTCAACTTGAACAAGAAACATGGTTGTGATGGTCTGGAAAAAGGACCTTTTAAACATCATACTTTTATTGTACAATCATTTGGAAAAGTTCCACTTTGCAGCTCAAACTCTCAGCCAGCATGGGCAATTCTGAATCACAGTTATACTCACAAAGTGATCCCACAGGATTGTCCTAACAGGCCATCCATGCCGTGAGTCGCCCTAGGGCTGAGAACGGCGGTCTACAAGTGCAGTAAATAAATAAATAAATAAATAAATAATAAATCCAAAAAGTTATTGTCCGTCTTCTGTATACACAAACATATGTAAATGAATTTGCATGCGTGGATTACTCTATGCATAGTGTTGCCTCACAGGATTCACATGGATTGAGGGGCGGGGGGTGGGGGATGTTCATGTGCAGCCTTACAGCTGCCACTGGACTACAGCTTCAGTGAGCCCTCTGCTCTGGCTGTGCTGGCCAATGTGGATGGAAGCTATCATCTTGAATCCAGGAGGGCTGCACATTGCCCAGCAGTGCTGCTTACATGTTTTAACCAGAGATGCCAGGGACCGAATTTGGAGCCTTCTGCATGCAAGGCACGTGCTTTTCCTCTGAGCTAACACCCTTTCCTTCACTATGTATTTGATTATGCATTGAACAGACACCTTGGGATCTCCTTGCAGTCAAGTCTCAGCTTAACGATGTCACTTTTTGACCCTCTCTTCCTTCTGGGGTTGCACCAATTTGCTCAATGGGGTGGCATACATAGCTAGTCCATGGGCAACTACCTGCCTAGGTAGTTGCCCATGGCCATTCAATTCTAAGGCAATAAAGCAGCACAGAATTGGAACTAGTTACAGAACAACTCATTCACAGATCCGGATGAATCATTGCGGGTCTAAGACTAGAGGAGCAGGGTCCTATGAATACATACTCAGGAGTAAGCCCTATTTGAATTAAGGAGGCTTGACTTCTGATTAAATGTGTGTGGATTGTTGCTGCTTTTCCAGGGCTCCATGCAGTCACTTTTATAGCTATGTAATCTAAATACAGATCTCCATGATTCTCCTTCTGCTTTAGCTGTAACCACCTATGGAAGAATACTGAAAGTAAATTTGTAACACCAATTCATTTTGATCTGTTATGTTGATGAAACCCTTCTAGAAAAGCCATTCTTACATGTTAACATTTATATCTTTTCTTACCTTCAATGAACTCAAGGTAGAGTGCACTTGCCCTCTCAAAACACCGTGAGTTAGGCCTGGTTGGGGGAAAGTGACTAGCTCAAGGTCACCCACTGAGTTTCATAACCCTCTGGTAATCAAGATCAGGATTTCTCAAAATCCATTATTTTGCTTTATTCCTGAACCATTCTGTAGAAACCATTTGTTGGTGGCGTGTCATTCTTGTGGTTCTCTGGTGCCAGCATCAACCCTGATGCCAAAGTAAAATGATCCACTTAATGTCATGCACTTGTATTTTGAAAATATTGTTTTGTTGACTGCATATGAGAATATAAGTTAAGAGGCTGTCGGCAGCAGAGAATTAAATTTTGGCATGAATGCGAATTGATGGAAATGTCTGATATTTGCACAAGGCTGGTGAATGACAATGCAATGTTTGATTAGACCAGTAGTTCTCAACCTCTGGGCCGCAGTCCACCAGTGGGCTGTGAGAATGAAAATCCAGTCCACAAATCTCCTTCCTCTTTATTTTATTTCCACACCTTTCCGCAGAGCTAACCATCCCTATCACTTTTGTTACTAATGTTGGAAAGTGGTCCCAGGTCAAAGACGTCCTAGTTCATGTGGTCCCTGGTCAAGTGGTCCCTGGACAAAAAAGGTTGGCAACCATTGGATTAGACAATACGAGGACTGTAGTGTGAGAACAGAGTTTAGGTTGGGGTATGGGATTAGTTTTAGCCGTGTTTGGAGAGTGTATGGTGTGTCAAATGTAACAAATAATCTGGTGTTTTGTTAAACTTCTGTAAATAAAGAATTGTTTGGGGGGTGTTTTAACTCTTTGGTCCTCTGAAAACGCAATATATCTAAGAAACTGAATTCAGACGTGTTTGTGTTGTGGAAAAGAAGTTGCATAAATCTTCATAGATATCGTACAGGCATTTAGGCCATCCCCACATTTGGTGCCACAGGAGGACAAAAGGAAGTCCTGAGATTGCAGTAGAGGTATGTATCAGGAAAAGCTTTCATTTTGATAATTGCAGTGAGTACCACAGACATGTTCACATTCGACGAAAACCCACATAGAAAAGCCACATTTGCCTACAGTGGTAGAACTGCCTGAGATGTACCTTTGCGCCTGGCAGCACTGATGAGATTGACTAAGTGGAAAACCCAAGGGTTGATGGGAGGAATTTGGGAAACTCCACATCCCATACCTTACCCACATGCTGGTAAATGAAGTGTCTCTCCCCCTTACACCAGCGCACAAGAATATATAGGCAGGAATGAGCTTGGATCTTTCTGGCTTTGGTTTGACCCCCTTGTTACAAAGCAAAAATTAATGAGGGAACTAGGACAGCATCGAGTGAAAAGTGTTCCTATCAGGTCTGGAAGTACCGCTATCTAATTTACTCCTAGAAACAGCAGCAGGGCCAGAAGACCCCATAACAAAATCTATCTATCACTGTCACAGCACAGCTAGAACGTCTGCTGCACAGAATCACACAATCCTTGTTCCTGGAGACCTTTTTGTCCTGCTCAAAATCTTCTCTGCTACTGCTTGGCTGGAAGCCCAGCATCTGTCAATAGTGACAGAGTTCAAACTGCCTGAAAAAGAGATTGGCAGAGGTCCAGCAGGAGAGCCACTAGATGGCAATACAAACCTTTTGCAACCTCAAGAAACAAACCCACCCAAAGTTTCTCCAACTAAAAGTTTGGTGGGCTTCAGTCAGAGGGCCAATGCACTATTCTAGCTAAAATTGGATTCATAATTAGGTAGCTTCCTCCATCACAGACCCTGTTGTAACTATCGGCATTGTTATTCTATCCATGTCCAATAAAATATGTGCTTCCTGGGCACATACTAGGTCCACCAGAATGACTCCAGGATATTCTTGGTCCAAGTCTCCATTTGAACAGGGTTCACTATTATCCATGGTTTTGCATATTCATGAGAAGTCCAGGAATATATTATCTGCAGAACATATCCTTCCATGCTCTAGAAGTCTGGTGGTACCATCACAGTCCACCATATAGTGGAGATAGGTACACATATAACAAAATGTGGAACGTTTCTGATAGTAATTGCCTCAGTTTAGGTCTTGTTTTGTTCAACTTCGGGTTTACTGGTGTTATACATCTACTTTGTCCAAATATGGGATAATGAAGAAATGCACAGGCCGTCTTCCTAACTAGGCACCTAGTGCACATTTAAAATCAGGAAGACAATATTCAAAAAGCAGGAAAACAGCTCAGATGAACCTTCTGTTTACAACAAGAGGTGCTTCCAGATGAATGATTACTAGCAGTACAAATCAAAACATAAAGTGTAGGCTTTATTCCACCTTTTCCTCCTTTACAATTTGTCTCTTCTTTATATGTACGTGGGAGGAAAATTGACAGAAAGTAGTAAGAAAACCTGGAAGGTGTCGTCTGGATCCCATGTACAATTTTGTTTATTAGGCAGGTTAATTACACAATAAAAACCACAACTAGCAGCATCCAAGGGTTTTATTATGGATCAGTTTTGCATATCCCACAAGCACCCTAAAATAGCTTCTTTCACTTCAGAAAGTGACACATGCACACCTCCTTCCCAACCTTCCTTTCCTTTGGCACAAGCAGAATATTGATTCCTGGCAACTCCTGCATATCTGACGTGGGAAAATTAAAGGGAACAAGAGAGCTGTCACTTGGATGAAGGGCAAATTCAGCTCCACCATAGGTAAAGGTCTTGAATAATTCAGTATCTACAGCCCCAACATTGCCATGGGGAACAATCGGAATAGCAGCATGCACTACTCTGCTGAAGTGCAAAGCTTCTTGGTTTCACATGTCAGCCTTTGTGCTGGTTCCATGTCTCTGATTCTAGTTAAAGCTTCCCCAGCATCACCAGCGGCATCATTCAAGGGTCTCAGTTTGGGTCACACTTTGGAGAATTGCTAGTCCATAAATGAAAATGACTTGGCTTTTTCATTAAGTATTAATTGTCATCTTACATAGAAAATGACATCCGCACCCCACTTTTTGGGATCATACTAAGATGCTGGTGGTAAGAGGTGCCATTTTAAATCAAACACATTGAGCCCATGTTGAACTAGCAAGGTTTCAAGGCAGTGATTATCAACCTGTGGGTTCCCAGGTGTTCCCAGAAATCCCAGCTAGTTTACCAGCTGTTAGGATTTCTGGGAGTTGAAGGCCAAAACATCTGGGGAGCCACAGGTTGAGAACCACTGGTTAAAGGAAAGGTATGGAAGTGCAAAAATGGAGGAATCAGAGCAGAAGTGAAGGGTAAAAGAATAAGGAAAGGATTTAGCAAACCCAGAATTCCTTGCCTACCAAAACCTTATAAAATTGATAGTGTCTCCATAAGCTGATAGGCGACTTGAAGGTGTACACACACATACACAACCACATACACACAAGCCTTGAAAAATTACTTGAAAAAATTTGGACTACATCTCCCATAATACCCAATATACTAGCTGATTAATTCTAGGAAATGCAGTATAAAAAGTAACACTTCCATGTTTTGGAAAAACTGAACTTCACAAGAGAAAGGAAACCATAAATGATGCTATTTGCAAATTATCTTTTCCTGGCTCCACAGAAAAACGGTCGCTGGGCTTCTCACTGGGTTCTGTATCAGCTATCATAAATATTTTAATACTGCAGAGAGACAAAAAGTATTTCCTCACTCTGTTTTAAAGTTGCGTGTTTTTTAAATTGTATAAACCAAACAGGCTCTACAAAATATTTTTTTTAATTATACTCATATTAAGTTAATTTATTTACATCTATTTTGTCTGAATAGATTATATTAATAAAATATACTTATTGTGAATCTGGGTAGTTTCATAGAAGATTCTGAACAGATGTAATACAAAAAAGAAGTACTGTCTTATCAGGAAGAGAATGCAGTGGGTACAGGTCTTTAAGGATGAAATTACTGACCCCAAGTACATAACAACTGTCCTTTCAGTTTCAGTTTCCCCTTCGTAATGTATAGAATGGAAAATTGTATGTAATTTAGAAATGAGAAAGGTCAAGATTTTATTATACATTACCAAATTTTGTATTATACCATTCAAGAGGAGCTAATATAGCCATGGCATTTGCTGAATTATTTAGATATATTGGTGCCATCCCAATATATCTAAATACATCCCAAGGACCTCATGGTGGCGCAGTGGGTTAAACCGCTGAGCTGCTGAACCTGCTAACCAAAAGGTTGGTGGTTTGAATCCAGGGAGCGGGGTGAGCTCCCACTATTTGCCCCAGCTTCTGCCAACCTAGAAGTTTGGAAACATCTTTGGGCGGAAAGGTAACGGTGCTCCATGCAGTCATGCCAACCACATGACCTAGAAAGTGTCTATGGACAACGGCAGCTCTTCGGCTTCGAAATGGAGATGAGCACTACTCCTAGAGTCGGATATGACTAGGCTTAATGTCAAGGGAAACCTTTACCTTTACTTATTGGTGCCATGCCATCTATTTCATTTGGAACGTAAGTGTCTTGGATATCATAGCTTTGCATTAATGTTTCTCCAAAGTTGTACTATGGTTTCTCTAAAGTTGCACAAAGATTATTTCTCCTTATCTTTTAAAATTGCAATAGGATAGTAAGAACCCGGGAGTAGAGAAATAATTCATGTAGCCCAGGGTCACCAAATACCTGCTGAAGTCCCCCCAACAGGGCAGAATGGAGATGGTTGTCTCCTGTTGTTCCTCCCTAGCATTTGCTACAGCAACATAGTCATGTTTGGACCTATACAAATGTCACCAAAGGAAGCTACCTTTCAGAATCAATATTACTCTACCGTATTTAGTTCCTTTCAGATGAATTGGTCTACACCTCATAACTCCCACACACATCACTCAGATATACCAGCATAGCCAATACAGAATATATACCCATCTAGTTTGCAGCCAGTAGTTATCTCACATGTCCTTCTATGAAAATATATTATTGTTGGAAGTAGGATAGGCTTTCTCCCTTGTGAAACCATCACAGCCAAGCTAAGCAGGAATTAAAAGGCTTGGTTCATTCCCCTTTACAAGCCTAAATCAAAATTTAAAAACCTTTGACATCCAGGAAAAAGGATACCTGGCCCTTGAGTCACGTGACTTAAGGTTGGGAGCTAAATGACATAATTCCTGCAAAAAAGAGAAAGAACGTTCTCTCCACTTGATCACATTCATTAAATACTACTGAGCCACCCACTTAAGAAATGGCAGCCTACTGTGTTCATCACATGACGTAAGCTTCAAGTGTAGGGTAGAGATATCTTGGCATTTAAAAGGGGTTGCAAAGGGTTCTCTTTTCGGACACTTTCTAAGCTGGTTGGCAAGTGACTTTTTTTGCAAGTTAGAGAAGGGCAAAATGGCCATTGTTGTCATTTGATGGTCTTTGTCGTTCTCAGCTTTAAAATGATATGATTACGCAATTTGTGGGAGGAGCCAAAATGTCCCTTTGAGAAAAAGCTCCACCATTACTTTTTGCTCACGAAGGAGGAAAGGTTGGCAGCATGTTGCATTCCTTTCTGTCTCATGCACTTTCTGGGGGCCTTCCTTCCTTCCATGTGCTGTGTGTGCCATGTGTTTCCTCCTCTCCTTCTTTCCCTCCTTTCTTCCTCTTTCCAACACGAGGAAGGAGAGAGAGCAAGAGGAGGCAGATCATTGAGAAACTAGAACAAAATGTGCTACAGCAGGATGCCCCTCCTCCAAAGAGAAAGTCTTTGCAGTGTAATAAACTTTTCACATGTGTTTAGGATAGAACCAATTAGGAAATGACATTTATAACCCAGCAACAAAAATCATAGTTCAAGAGAGAAGGTGTTTCTTTTCTCAAAGAAAACAAGGGAGGGACAGTGAGCAGAACAACTCTGTACAATGTGATGGCAAATCAACTGAGAACTCCTGAATAAAACCGATAGTTTGCTAGTGTGTGATGGAGGTAGGAAAATCAGCCATTTAATTTCAAAATGAAGTATGCCTGAGCTGTATGGTAAACCTACTCTTCCAAACACTTGACATGGTCAATGGGATGAAGTATTCTGTCAAAGTTATAGCAAGATTTGAGAATTCACAAGTTCCCATCAAATTACTTCAAACAATAATTTCACTGCTCTACATCTTGAAAACTCGTGGAATCCTAGAGTTGGAAAGGACCACAAGGTCCACCTGTCCAGCTCTGGCAAGCACAGCACCCTGAAAGATGCCCACCCATCCGATGTTTACAGATTCCAAAGGAGCGGCCACCACCTTCCAAGGCAGTTAGTCCCATTAAGTGAATCAGAAGTCCACTGACTATGCATCTCCCTGGATTGAAGGATGAGAAGATGCTATTATAACACAAAGGACAAGGTGAAAGTGGCCAGAACTAAGCTAGTCTGAAAGCGACTTTATTGGAAGGGCCAAGTAGCTAAATGTTGCCTCATTAAATGTAGGGGTCTCTTTCCTCTTCATCACTGAAATGCAAGGGCCACGAAGGATAGCCGCCTCAGGACAGCAGCAAGCAGCGCAACTCTTGGCTCGAAGTGACAGGCAAGGAGCAGGCAAAGTTCTCACACAGATAAGCAGTAGCTTTTCCATTTTTCTTCTCTAGAGACGAGAGGAAGCCAAGCTGCTGGTAAGGGAATCCTGTTGTGTTCCCGTCAGCAAAAATCAGCACCTGAAACAGAGAGGGAAATTGTTATAGTAATGCAATATTACTATATATGCAATGTATGCACGCACACATAACAATACAGCCATGGGTGAGATGTCATCTATGGAAAAATTGAGTTAATCAGTCCAATTACAACAGACTGGTTGAATTTGTAATTCTTATAGTACACCAACAGTATACAGTTTTGAATTATAGTTAAGACAAAACCCATTTTTACCCCTCCCATGCAACACAAGTTAGTTTTGTTAGTTAACCTGAGTTAAACCCTCAGGGGGTTTCTCACATCAATCCACTAGCACCTCTGCAATAGCATAACATGGACTCTTGCTCACTGCTTGTGGCACAGAGTATTTGATGCCCAACCAGTGACATAATAAGACCACACCAAAACGAGCCATCTTTATTAAGCTAGTTATTGTAACTGTGAACCAGAGATATCAAAAACCAAAAACAGGCAGAGAGTATACTGATGTGGAAAAGGTGGCAGCAGCAAGTATCCTCTTAAACCTCCCCTCCACCTAACTTGGGCAAAGACACCAGAGCTCCAAGATACACTCAAACTTGGGTTGCTCCCCACACTTCCCGCACTTGGAAGCTTTCCTCGAGGTCCCCCGCTTCCCGAGTCCCAAGCCCCCAAGGTCAGGGGAGTAAGCCTCAGGGCCACCCTGAAGAAAAGTCTCTATCCTCTTCTCCACAGTCCTAAGACCCAAATAGGTGATTCAGGAGGACCCCTTCCACCCTAATGGGACGCCATGGATGTTCACCAATTTCCATATTAACAAAAAACTGCCAGTGACCAAAAACTAATCACAGTCCACACCCAAAACCAATCCTTAGTCCCCAGCTCACAGTGTAGGGTACGCAAAATAATCCTTCAATAAATATCCTCTGCAAGTTCAATTAGATATTTCCCTCTTTATTTCTGCATGAGCAGCATTACTGCATGAGCAGCATTACTCACACTCTTTCTGTTGGCTAGTTGATATCTTTTCAGTAAAGGGTTTAAAGACTAGCTTATTTTATTTAAAAATAGTTTTATCTCATAATAAGAAAACAAGAAAAAAACTGATAATAATTAGTCACTCTGTGGGGAATAGGAATTGGCTATGGGGCAACCCATGAATAACTCTGCTGAACAAAAAGCAATTAGAGACAATAGTTGTGAGAAGAAAGCTTCTAATCCAAGACTCAGTAGTCTTGAAAAGCCTCCACAAGATTTTGAATGCATATGTTGAACAGAATGACAATACATTTTAAATAGAAAAAAATGCTACAAATCACTGAAAATATTCAAAATGGCAACACAAAAACAACCAGGATGCTATGCACGGGCCACAGCAGATGGGTTACTCATACAAAATGTGTGAACAAAGAAAGGACAGTAATTCCACACCAAACAGTCTGTGTAGAGCTGAGAGTATTTGGGATGGGAGATACTGCCCCGGTGCCGTCATTTCAGCTAGATGATTTCCAGGTTCTTCCCAGTCATAGAGTTCTGACAATGCCTGCAAAGACTTCTTGGAACAACCAGCAGCTTCTCCCATGATTCCTTTGTTCTCTCAAGGGAGGAAGCACTATAAACAAAACAACAATCTTTAGCAGCTGGCCAAGCTGGGGGGAAAGTAGGGGGGTTGAATTCAGGACATCTCACAGCACTGCCTGTTTTTGGTTCTGAGAGTCTCCAGAGCTATCAACTCAAATATGAGGTGAAAAACTTAGCTCAAGACAATGAAGCCTGGGGAGGTTGCATTTTTGCAAGTTGTTACTCTGAATATCAGACTCTGTAATAATCCAGTAGGAGCTCAACCATGTAAACAAACTCATGGTATTCCCCTGGATCAACAACATTCATTGATGAGTGAGATTCTGGACAGAAGGAGAAGAGTCACATGAGACTCATTCAAGCAGGTCTCTCTTCAGACAACCTCTGAGCTACTTATGATCTGGAGCTCTGAAGCAGTTTGAGGAAAGGAAACCTCTGCTCCTCACCTTCCTACACCCTTCCTCCCTTCAACCCCATCTCTCCCACAAATAAACTGTGATCAACACAATGCTGTCACTACCCCCACTGGCCCAGCAGATGTCAAACATGCCACTCAAATGGCATTAATTACTTTTATACTCTACAGTTATCGAGCAATTTAGAATATCAGTTGATAGAGATCCAAGCCGCTGTGGGTTTAGCTTGATGAGAAAAGATGGCATGAGCTCAGGAGTTCTGGGCCGCAGCAGGCTATGCCAATTGGGTATCTGCGCTAAGTCTGGCATCAATATCCGCTTCCTTCACACATGTAGAATCCATAGCCTGAATTCAAGGCTGATCTCAAATTCTAGCCAGCACTGCTGCACTCCTGATGTTGGAGAACTGTAAGACCATGGGAGGAGCTGAACCACAAACGATACAGTTGATCTTCTGGATATGCTGCCCACAGAGAATGAGCCTGACACAGCTAGGTTTATCCTGAACGCCACATACCAGTATTGGAGAACTGGATTGGTCTTGAGTAACAGCTTGGCCCTGAAGACCAACTAGAGGATCAGGGGATGCTTACTCCATATTCCACATCAAATCTGATGTCACGAAATGTTCTCTCAACAACTACCAGTATTTTACCTTCTTCCATGCAAATGCAGAAAGAGTATCACACAAACCCTCTTCCATTATGAATTCTTAAGGCAGAAATGTGCAGGACACATGCATGAATCCGGCAGGACTGTTCCACCCCCACCACTACTGTTTCAATAAAGGGCCAGATTCCATCACTGTATTATTCTTTCCATAATAGCAAGTGCTAAAATGCAATCTCAAAAGTCATGTCTTCAGAAAAGAATTTGTAAGCTTCCCCACCGCAGGTTTAACTCCACCTGCTTGCTAGCTCTTTGTACTGCACCAACCTTGACCCACCAACAGTGCTTTCAAAAGTACGCTTGCTATAAACATTCTCAGATTGCTGAGTGTTTGCCACATTCTTCAAAGGCAGGACTCTTGCATCCTAAATGCTTCTGCATTTGTCCCTCTTCCCCCTCATCTTGTCCTTTTGGGGACATGTGAACTGTAATTGAATCACACCTGGCTCCTTCTCTAAGTACTTTTTCTGTGGTGCAAACCCTCCCCCTATTTGACAGCTTCCCTTCTGACAAGAGCCTTCTTTTCATTATATTCCTGAATTCATCTTACACCTGGAAAATGCCCCATGTCTTCCCCTACACAAACACACACATACACACACAACTCACTTGCTCTTTCACTCCAGTGACGTTACAAATTGGGGGGGGGGGGCATTTGGGTGTTTTCTAGGCCAGACCAAAGCTGCAGAGGCGCCTGCTGCACAGTCATCAGGTCACCCCTGTTAGAAATCCTCTCTAATCATGCCTGAGAAATGAACGTCTGCAGTGCTAATTAATTTTTACAATACAGAAATTATTATTAGCTCCCTTGGGTCCTGGCTGTTAATAGAAAGTGCACCAAGATGAAACTTGTCAAGAGCGAGCTTTAGTTACCTTTGTTCAAGGTGTACAACAGGACAGGCCATGTGGATATCAAAGAGGATGGGAGATACACTAAGCACTTCTGTCATCACAAGACAAAGAACTTCTCTCTCTCTGTCAGGTGCACACACGCATGCTCGCACACACTGACAATCAGGCTACTTTATAGGGAAAGGAAAAAAATAAGTGAGAACGGGGATTAGATGTGGCAGAAAGCTACAATGATAGCTCTGCAGAGTGTGTTGGCATGCATGAAGTCAAATACTCCATTATAAATACCCACCTGCAATCCATTTAAAAACAAAAATATACCCAGTCCTGTTATTATATTAAGAAACAGCATTCCCCCATAGCAGATGCCAAGAAAAAAGGAAGGTGACCTGTCATTTCTGTGAAACATCATCAGGTTGCAACTAGAAGTATGATGAATTAGACACAAGCTCCCTCTAGCGAGAGGAGGATTATAAGGATTCTGGATACTTTCAGAAGATGTTTATGTGCTCTAGCAGCCTATAATCCTTCTGTCCTGGAAAGTCAGGTGATATTAGAAAGCCAATCTTGTACTGTAGGCGGATAAACAGCTCCAAACACTATTACCATTCCTCAGCTGTACCCAGTGGTCACGCAGAGAAATCAAATTATTGACCATCACTCAGACTGCCATGTTAAGCCCTCTGCCTGCCTACCTGATACTTGCACAAGGGACTTGCTCTCGCACTTGGGGCTGATCCACTTCCTTTTTTCTTGGCCAGTAAACAAGGCATCCATTAACAAAATGGCATTCCTACAGATTATAGTGGTTGGTACAAGCAGTTTAAGATAGGTACAAGAAGCTTAAGATACTTTCTTTGCAAGCACAAAGAATAAATGTGACTGGAAATATATTCTGTGCTCTGTGTATTTACCGAATCTGCACAAATAAAGATACATTTGGGTGAAACATCCTTGGAATCCAAAATGAACCATTATACATGCCTCATCACCAGAAGCAACCTTAGTGTTCATCACAACTGTATCTACTTAAAGACAGTTGGAGAAATATAAAAATACAAATCCACTTCCCATTTGGTTATGGATAATAGCATATTACATCTATTTAAAGAAATAGTAGTTTGACACATACCCTTTTGCCCCTAAGTCAGCAGTAGCATTTGTTACCTTAAGCCACATTTTTGAAAAAGCTTTCATCCTAACCCAACATATCTGAATATCTCCAAACACCTTATATTCCCAAACAGCATTTGGCCTATACAGTTTGCTTCTAATTTTAAGGAAGGAAAAAATCATAGTCATAATTACCCAGGCAGTGACATAAGTTTAAAAGTTAACTTTAGGTCTGAAAGACTCCCTGGATAAACTCTACTGCCATGACCTGCCCTATCATGCATACTTTGTCTTTCCAGTGGTTTTCCTTCAGACCTGCTGTCTGACACCTGACCTGTCTGACAATGGCCAGAATCATCTATTACCTTTCTTTGGCGATTCCTTTTGATTTCCTCTCCAAAAGAGTCTCC